TGTGTGTGTGTGTGTGTGTGTGTGTGTGATGTGTGTCCAGACCTCTCAGTCGGCCAGTAGAGAGTGAATCCATCATTAGATCTGCATCACCATCTGTCTCTTTTACTTTTTAACTTGGTTTTATTCTGTCAAACAGTCGCATCGATATGGTGCAGAAAAGTTTAGATGATTAATTGATAAGTTGGTGTTTTTCATGCTGTCTGTGTGTGCAGCGTGTTAAAGACACAAAAATGAAAGAGAGCAGTTGGCTTTTGAGTTTCTGGAAAAAAAAATGTGAGAGCAGCATTTGAATAGAAAGTACCCTTTTATTTATAGTGATTATAAACATAGCAGCAAAACGGAGGCCCGACTGGAGATTTGATGGTGTAAGTTTAGGCAATTTTTTCGTAAATGCATTGGAAGATCCCAGAATGAAGTCAATGACGACAAATATAAAAATGACTGCAGAAGGAAATAACAGGCAACTTCTAACTACAGGGGTTCTGACTGAACTATAATTTCTAACTTTTCTTTAATGGGGAATTCAATTTATGTCTATAATAAAATGACTAGCATTTAATAGCTTTTACATTTCCTTCTGCAGCGCCTACTGGACCCTCTATCGCCTTCAAACAAGTCTTGAGACAAAATTCTCCAGGTTACTGGACACAGATTTCTTTTGCACAAATAAAATCCGAGCGAAGCTGAATTGCAGTTTATTTCATTTTATCTAAGACAGGGCATGGCTCTGTAATTACACCTCCAAAACACAAATTGGTAGCGGGGTTTCCATGCTGCTGACTTGATTCTCTTACTTCAGAAAACTAGGAGTGAAACGGAGAAGATCATTTTTGAGATGGAACAAAATGAATACTTTAATTATTGCAGTGCAGACAAGAGACGGAGTTCATGCACAGAATAGCAGAGGTATGAAAACAAGGCGATGGCAGATTACACTGGCAAATTACATTAGCATTATGTGGAATCTAGATAGAATAACATCCCATAATGGATCACATTATGTTCTACAGAGGGGTTGTGCACATCAGTAACCATTCACAGCTGCAGTCTGCATCGTGACCATGCTACATTTCTGGGGAGGCGCATGAGGGCTAATTTAATCATATGAAAAATATCAGAGACTGATCGGCAGGTCAAAGGGAAAACAGCACATTGATACCTCTGACATGCATGAGTATACAGTTTGGTAGCATGATTTATCTGTCAGCAGAGGCTAAACCCAGAGGTGTGTTTGTGTTTCTGGACTTGGAGTCCTAGTTAAAAAAAACTCTGGGATACTTTTGAGACATTTGGCTTCACGTTTCAGCTCATTTATGTCCTTCTTTAATTGTAAGCAGACTGACAGCTATTTTACATTTATTCATGTTATAGAGTGATATCTTATCTGTATGCTGAATACTTTTGATGATACACTTTCAAGCAGAGGCACATCTTGTGAGTTTTTATTAAAATTCACCTTTCATATTCAAATGCAGCGCAGTGACAGTCCTAAACTGGCATTAACTAACTGCTCTCACTGTTTCTGAAACAAAAACACCTACCGCGAACCTGGTTTGAACTGCTGGATGTGTGTTTTAATTAGCACGGTATCTTGGCAGACTATTAAAAGAGGGCACTTGGCTAAATGAAGTGCTCCTCACACCTTCACATCTTCAAGAGACACACACAACCGGAGGGGGAAAAAAAAGATTGATCTGAATATTCATTGTTGGTTAAATATTTACAGTCAGATCTGCGTAGGTTCAAAATGTGATGATTATATTAGCATATTTTTCTCTTTTTTTTTAAGATAGAGCACCTGAGTTAGTATAGATGTAAAAACACTCCCACACACTTCATTATTTTTCTCACTTGCTGTCTTTGTTTCTGACTCTCTCACTCCACTGTGTGCTCGTCATTATTTGAGTTTGAAGCCATCTTCATACACGGTCAAAGGAATGTGTGTTTATTTTTACCGTTTGAAGCTGTAAAAACTGCCGTGAAGATGAGTGCTTGTGCCTGCAGCTTATTTGTCGCAGTTAATCAGGAATGGATGGATTTAATTTTTTAATTGTACATAAACCCGGAATATTATAAAGACACCGCGATAATTAAAATGATGGTATTTAAAAAGGAATTTAATCAGTTGTTAAAGTGAATCATTTAGCTCCTCCTCCAGGCTTTTCTTATATAGTACTGGGCAAAAATCTTCATCCACCCCCATTTCTTTCATTCTAGTAGTAAAAAAGGCACCAGTGTTGTGATGTGTCAGCACATAACAACTTTACAAATATCCAAACTTAAATGGTATATTTAGACACTGTTACCTGCAGCCTGTTGCAAAAGTACATACTTTGTTTACATTTTGTTTAGTTGAACCAATGAAACAGACATGAAATACTATTTTATGACCAACAAGGTGATTCCCAAAGAGCTATTCACCATGTTGTGCAGTGTGTCATTAAAAAAAAAAAAAATCGAGGAAAATGGATAAGTGGAGGACAAAAGATGATGTGGCAGGTGTTAAAAACTTATCCTCAGCAGATGAACAGTATCTGAGTCGAGAGAGTTGCAGCTGAAACTTTAGTTGATCCAGGTGCTGTTCACTGAAGCCTCGTCGGAAATGGCCTCAGTGGAACAGTGGCTGTCAAGAAGCTTTTCCTAAGGAAAGGAAACAGGAAGAAAAGGCTGAGGTTTGCCAAGCTACACTGGACTGAAAATCAGTGCCAATAGGTCTGATGGAGTGAGGAATCCAAATTTGAAGTTTGTGGTTCAAATCATTGTCAGTTTGTGTGGAGGAGGTCAGGAGAGAGGTACAACAGAGTGTCTGCAGCCATCTGTAAAACATGGTGGAGGGTCTGTCATGGTTTGAGGCTGTACTTCAGCCAGTGGTGTTGGGGATCTTGGCAAAGTTGATGAAATTATGAATGCTGAAAAACACTGTCAGATTTTGATCCGCCATGCAATTCCATCTGGAAAGGATCTGACCGGCATGGCTCAGGGTCCCAAACACAGTGCCAGTGCAAACAACATGATTGAAGAAGTGTGGGATCATCTTGACAGAGAACAGAACAAAAGGTAGCCAACATCCAAAGAAGAGCTTTGAATGTCCTTCGAGAAACCTGGACAACGATTCCTGAAGACTTCTTAAAGAAATTGCAGGAAAGCTTTCTTAAGAAAGTTCAGGCTATGTTGAAGAATTAAAAGGTGATTACACAAAAAATGACTTTCAAGCCTGTTAAAATTGTATAACCTGTGCTTTTGCCTTATATACTGTGTTTGCAGATGTGTCAATAAATCGCTGCAACTATTTCCTGTTCTACTATCAAAATGTAAAGAGATGACTGGTGACTCTGACTTTTACACAGGGCCGTCTTATTATGTAGATGGATCACATTCAAATTTGTGAAGTAATAATGAAATAACACTTGATTTAAAAGGCTGATTATAAGCATATTTTTAATTTACATGTTTCTTGTAGTCAGTTTGTTACAAGAATGGACCAGTAGTATATATGTATCAGGGCTCTAGACTAACTTTTTGCCATGGGCGTACCGGTACGCCTAACTTTAAAAAGTTAGGCGT